TCCACCTGAGTCATTTGTAGATTTCTATCTTAAAAATCAGTAATTCTTTCCCATCTGCTCTATTTCCTAAGCTCTCTAATTCATTCTTCATCTCATTTATTGAGTTTTTCAGCTTCAAAAGTTCTGTTTGGTTCTTTTTCATAGTTTCAATCTCTTTGGTAAAGTACTGCTCTTGTTTGATTTTATTCCTTAGCTCAACAAACTGCCTTTGTGAGTTTTCTTATATCTCTTGAAGTTTTTCTTGTCTTTGTTTATTCAGAACAGCAAGCAATCTTGAATTCTCTGTCATTTAAATCACAATATCCCATGTCTTTGAGTTTGTTTTCTGGAGATTTTTCATTTCTTTCTGACCTACCTTGTTATCTTGGTTGTTTATGGTAACTGATGGGTTTTCTCTTCTTTTTAAAATACTTGTTGCCTTTTACCCTTTAGCAGACTGATAAGTAGAGTTCTTTCTTTTGTTTTCCAGTAGATGGTGCTACAGTGCAAATTTTGTTTTCTCTTACCTGCAGTACTGTATCTTGTGGGATTCTGTGGAGTGGTGTTGCCTCAGTGTGGAAAATACCCTGTATTCCCCAAGGAGGTGGGAATCCCTTCTATAAGTAGTCACCTCACTCTCAGGGCAACACCTCTGTGGTGGTGTGTGGACAGTGATGGGAATCCAGGTCTATGAGTTCCTGGCCCTGCTGTCCTGCAACCAGAAGTAGTCAGCTGCCCTGTACTCTCTGAGGTGTCCCTTCTGCCTTTACCAAATTCCACCGCAATGGGTGGGGTGGGTTAGGTAGGGGAGGTGGGCTGGTGCACATCTGCAGCTTTATTCTTTCTACTGGGTTTAGTTCAAATGAATATAGGCCACTCCAGTTAAAATGTTGCTCCTACCACCGCACAACTTTCCTCCACTGCTGCCGCCTCTGCTGGAACTGGTATGCTACAGGAAAAGGGGGGTGGGTGCGGCAGAACTGTCCATCGGTGGCTTTGTTTCTTTTTCCTTGGTGACGGTGGCTGCTTGACAAGAGTGCTACCCTTCGCACCACTTCTCCACCTCTGTCCTTGGGCTCAGCATCAATGTGCACCAGCCTCCAGTCTGCAGAGCGGGCTGCAACCCTACTGCACTGCAATAGCATCTGCTGGGGCTGCTGTAATCACTGGACTGCCTCTGTAGCCCCCTTCTGTGTCCTCCCTGCCCCCATGCCTTTCCTGCTCACTCCTACAGCCCACCTTCAGATGTCTTAATGTGCAAGTCTCTCAGACATTTCGTGTTGATCAGGGAATCTTTTGTTGAATTACAGTTGTCCAGCCTCTTGTATCTTTAAGGGAAGAGACTAAGAAGTTTTCTCATGCTGCCATGATGCTGACATCACTCTCAATTTTCCCGAAAGTTTTCTATTTAATTTATTTAGATCAGGTTTCCACTCTTTTATTATTTCCTTTCTTATACTTTGGATTTTGTGTGTGTGTTTTTTCTAGTTGGAAAACTAGTCTTATTACACTGAGATTTTCCTTATTTTCTAATAAAGGTGTTTAGTACAGAAAAATTTCCACTAAGTACTATTTTAATCACATCCTATGCTAGTATCTTATGTTTTTGTTTATCTTCATTCCAAAATGTAGTCTAATTTTCCTGGTGAGTTCTTCTTTGATGTTCTAATTGTTCTATCAATTCTTGAGAGAAGGTTATTCAAATCTCCAACTATCATTTTATAAATTTCTATTTTTCCTTACTACTTTATCAATTTTTAGTTTATGCAATTTGAAGCTGTAATCAGGTGCATATATGTTTAGGACTGATTTGTAATCTTGATGAATTAACCCTGTTATCATTGATGAAATCACCACTTTTATTGCTGTGGATATTCTTTGTTCTGAAATCCACTGTCTTATAATATAGTCACACAATAAAGCTTTCTTTATTCGCTCTCCTGCTTTTAATCTGTTTATAATTAAACTGAAACATACATTTGCGTAATGCTTTTTTATTCAATCAGACAATTTCTGCCTTTTAATTGCGGTATTGAGGCCATAGCTATTTAAGGTGTTTATTGATACACTTAGGTTTAAATCTATAATTTTGCTATTTCTATTTGTGCCATCTGTTCAGTGTTTCCTTTCTTCCTTTTTTTTTTGCCATCTTTGGAATTAGTTGAAATTTTTTATGATTTCAATTTATCTCCTTTGTTGGTTCATTAGCTTTAGGGTTTATGGTATACATCTTTAATATACTATAGTCTACCTTCAAATAATATTTCACCACTTCATGTATAAGAACCTTCAAATAGTATATTTCTATTTCTCTCTTCTCATTCGTGCTATTGTCATCCTACATTTTATTTGTAAATACATTATAAACTTCAATCTATATTATTTTTGTTTAAATGGTTATATTAGTTTGCTAGGGCTGCCATAACAAAATACCTCAAACTGGGTGGCTGAACAACAGAAATATATTACATCACAGTTCTAGAGATTAGAAGTCAGTAATCAAGCTGTAAGGGCTGTAAGAATCTGTTCCATGCTTTTCTAGCTTCTGTTTGTTTGGTGGCAATATTTGGTGTTCTTTAGCTTGTAGATGCATCATCCCACTGCTTTCATCTTCACATCACATTCTCCCTATGTATGTATTTCGAGGTCAAAATTTCTTTTTATAAGGACACACAGTCATATTGACTTACGGCCCACTTTAATGACCTGATTTTAACTTGATTACCTCTGAAAAGACCGTATCTTCTAAATAAAGTCCCACCTTAGGGGTTACAACTCTTACACATCTTTTTTGGGGGACAGAATTTAACCTATAACAATGGCATTGTGATTCTTGAGGTTTCCAGTGTGGCTATTTCCAGCCTGTGTGTGTACTTCTAGCCTGTGTGAGTACCAAGCACTATAACCTCTAGTCCTTTCAAGTGGTGCTTCCTCCAGTGTCATGTAGTTTTCTCAACACATGTATTGATCAGTACTCTGTGTACGGAAGGAGGACTCTATGACCTCTGAAGTTTTTCCTCTGTGCAGATCTCATATCTTTGGCACTCTGTCTTAAAAACCCTAGCTGTTTTGGTCTGCCAGGACTCTCAGCTCCACCTCTACAACTCGGGGGAATCAGCTAGTTTGAGATCCTCTCTTTGTGCCATGTCCTAGAAACTCCCTGAAGGCTACTGTTGCAATTTTAGGGCTCATATAATTTGCTTTCAGTCTTTTGGGGATCACTGTCCTTTATTACCTGATGTCTAATGTTTAATAAATTATTTTGAATATTTTGTTCACTTTCTTGTTGCTTAAAGAAAGGGAGAAAAAGGATCAATCTGGTCCCTGTGACTTCATCTTACCTGAAAGTGTAAGTCTCTTCCTTTGGTTTTAATTATAGGGTTCTGAAACTGTGAAAGTCTGATTCTACTACTCAACTTATGTATAGCAACTGTTTTGTCTTCCCTAATGACTTTACATTTGAAAGTTTATAACCCCATCTGTAAACAAATTACATATTTTAATAATATTTAAGCCTGAGGTTCAGATCAAATGGTTGTCATGTCTCAGCAATCCCTGAAGGACATCTCTAACATGTCTTGAGGAAGGAAGGTGAGAGTCACTTGCCTTTTAAAATTATAGCCCCTGATGGCACAGGAATTCTCTGCAGTGAAAGCTAAGAAGAGCTGTTCTAATATAAAGCAAACATTTGTCCATCTTTAGGAAGCAGAGACAACAGTAATGGTTTTAGTATTTTCTCATTCCTCAATGCTCCTCATATAGATTTAATCTAGACAGTCACGCTCATCAAAATTAAAGATTCGTACAAAAGTTGAATCTGCAAGTACAAACATTTCAATAATAATAGAAAACATTTCTTTAGCACTTACTATATAACAGGTATTTTGCTAGGTGCTTTAAATATTTTTCCTCAAGTAAATAATAACAAACTTGTAAAGTATGATCCATTACTAACCCCATTATACAGATGAGAAAACTGAGGCTCAGAGATTCAAAACTAGGTTGAAAGCAAGATTAGATTCTTTTATTCAAAAAACAAAATGGGATACATCTATAATACTATCAGCAATTAAAAAAAAAAAAGGTACTTAATGAATAGTTAATGTACCAGGCATGCTTCTAGGTGCTGGGAACATAGCAGTGAAGAAAAAAAAAATCCCTAACCCAAAATATTTATATTCTAACACATATTCTTTATAAAAATTTAATTTGTAAAATATTTTGTACCTGATGTTATATAAAAAGTAAAATGTAAAACATTATAAACTTGTCACTAAAAAATTTCTAATTTTAAAAGTAGAGGATACGTTCTTTGCAAAGGTAAGTAGTTTCATATACTAAATACAAATAGTGGGATTAAATAAAGTTCTGACTGACTCCAAAGCCCTTGCTATTTCCACTATTTCATAATGGCTCCATATCACAATACATTTCAGAAAGAGATGCATTAAAAAAATAAACCAATCAAAAGCCCAAACACTACAGCTGTCTGGAAATCTGTGCAATCTACTAACATTTCTTGACTGCAACAATAAATGATCAACAGGGAACAAAAATTGGGAAAATAAAGACAAATATAGTATAGGTCAAGTTAATATTTGTTAACTAAATGATAAAAAATTTTCCTTGAGGCCTAGCTGGTTTCCTTGAGACTCAGTGGTTAGAGCATGGGCCCGTGAACCAGAGGGTCCCGGGTTTGATTCCAGCCAAGGGCACATACCTCAGTTGCAGGCTTGATCCCCGGCCCCAGGCAGAGCACATGTAGGAGGCAACCAATCTATGTGTTTCTCTCACATCGATCTTTCTCTCTCTCTTCCTCCCCCTCTGAAAAGCAATGGGAAAAACATCCTCCGGTGAGGATTAAAAATTTTTTTTTCATTGAATATATATATGGAAATAATCTCATCAACTTGTACACGCTAAATATATTTGCTATTTCAAAAATGTAAAGACAATGCTTTTCCTTTGTAAATATGCATGTAAAACATTCAAGTCGCAAAACAAAACAAAACTATGCATACCTCTACAGCAGGTACAATGTCTATGCCAACTGTTAGAAATTCTTCAAACTTCATGAATGGGTTAAAGCAGCTGCCAACATCAAGTAATCTGATCTTTCCTGAGGTTTGTAGCAACCTAAAAACAGATTATTTTGTCTTATAACAAGCAAAATAAAAATAAAGTATAAGAAAAATTCAAACATCTGAGAATTAAAAAGTTCATACAGATTTTTGGTTTTCTTTTTGGTCTTGAGGTTCCTTTAACACATTTAAAAATTACTGAGGACCTTAAAGAGTTTTTGTTTATGTGGGTTATATCTATCAACAATATCATATTTGAAATTAAAACAAAATAGTTTAAAAAACATTTATAAAACAATAAACCTATTATATATGTTAATGTAAATTATAGATTTGTAATGAAAAATCTAGGTTAGAAAGACAGCAAAAAGTGAGGCATTGTTTTACATTTACTCAAGTCTCTTTAATGTCCAGCTTAAAAGAAGATTGATAAATTCTCCTATTTGCTTTTGCATTCAAACTTCCAATATCACATGCCATGTAGTCTCTAGAAAACTACACTCGACACTCATGAGAGACTGAGAGTAAAAAAGACAACTGACATTTTAGTATTACTGTGAAAATAATTCCCCCCCCACAGAGACCCTGGAAGGTTCTCAGATCCTGAGACCACGCTTCGAAAACTGTCCTTGTAGATGAAAGAATACATTCACAAATCAATTTTCAGTAGTCAATATAACAATGTCTTTGTACTTAACTTTATTTCATTGACTTAAAAGGGCCAAAGAGAAAAGCATAAACAAAATAGTATTAAGTTATAAAGGTCTGTTTTACTTTTATTTAAGAGCTCTCTTCCTGTCCAAAAACAGTAGGAAAAAATGAAGGTAAACAAAACTAGAAATGACCATATTTTAAAGTTAGTTGAATGCAACGAATATGGATCAACATAGCAGCAAGGATGAAGGAAAACAGTGGATTTTGTTGGTCTAAAACCTATAGTCCTAATATTCAGACAATATAGCAATAATAAAAATCAACTTCAGACATCTACCATTTCACTGATTTAAAATAATTTTCTTTAAAAAAAGATTATGAGTGGATGTTGGAAAAATAAAGGAAAGTAAATGTAGAAAAATAATTGGGTGAAAACAGAATCCTGGCCCCTTAACGTCTAAAGAGCAGAGAGAACCTGTCCAGCTTCTCTTCCTTATATATTATTACCCTAGGGTCCATTAGGGAGGTGTTAACTTACAGACAGTGGGTTATGCTCGTGAAAAAGGCACCATATCAAAATAATTTGAAGCTGATTTCCTCCCCCCCCAAAAATGCATGCAATACGTAGTGGTTACATTTTTTAATCAAATGTTATGTCCCAACATTTTACAGAAATGACAATCACCATTTGATTATAAATAAACTATATAGGACCTGTCTGATGCAGTGAACGTCATACCAATTAAAGTATTTTTGTTAATAAAATTTTAAGAACTCCTCTGGAAAGGGGCTATGAGGGTATAAGGAAACAGCATTTCATCAGAGGGAGGGGCTTCATTTTCTATATGTATAAAACAACTCAATAATACTGACTATGACCTCCAAATGAATGTTAGTTCTTGAAAACTCTCCCAGTGAAAAGAGCTGCTCCTAGGGATGAAGAGGTAATTTTCTACACTGCAGCCAATTAGGAAGCAGATTATTTGTATGGGTGCTGCCTATAACAAATAATCACCTATAAAACTGAACTAAGTTTAGTGATATTTGAAGCATAACAGTTTAGTTCCAACGAAGAATGAGGGCTGGAAACTTCTTTGGCATAGGTTCCAAGGTGCTAAACAGCAAAAGATCCAGTATATAGGGGCCATAAAAATGTCTGGCATATGGCAGACATTTGCCACTGAGTTAATACAAATCCAAATACCCAAATCGTAACCAGTTAGGATAAATGAGAATCTATAACAATATGTAATACTATATACACTATTAGATTGTCATTCTAATTCTTACTTGGGATTATAGTTAAACACATGAGTTCTGGCATTAGAGAAACTAGCATCAAAGTCTGAGTCTGTCCTTTACTTGTAATGTGGGGACAATAATGGTACCCAAACTTTAAGAGTTGTTTCCAGGATTAAATGAGATAATTCATTTATAATACTTGACCCAATATCTGGTACATGGTAAGTGTTCAAAAAGTGCTAAATATTATTGCTAGTTGTTAAAATCACTTTATAGATTAAATCTTTTCATGGTTCACCCACTAACAATCTTTCTGAGCATAGTAAAAGCAGAATTCGCCTCTGACTAAATTCTGTACTAGTAAACTGGTTAGCAAAAATTTTATTGATATTTATTTTAAAAATTGCAACTTATAGCCCGGCTGGCGTGGCTCAGTGGTTGAGCAGCAACCCTTGAAACAGAAGGTTGTGGTTCAATTCCCTGTGAGGGCACATATCAGGGCTGGGGCTCGATCCCCAGTAGGTGGTGTTCAGGAGGCATCCAATCAATGACTCTCTCATCATTGATATTTCTCTCTTTCCCCCTCTCCCTTCCTCCCTCTGAAATCAATAAAAACATATTTAAAAAGTTCATCTTATAAATGAAATTTTCTATGTAGATGGAGTATTTTAATCATTCAAGTTAATTCAACATCATGATATAATCACCAAAAACTTAATAAAATGCACTGACCTAATAACATTAATTCTTAGTAATATACTTAGTCCATTTCAAATTCTTTGCTTTAGCTCCTAAATTTTCTATTTGAGCCAAACATATACTTTCAGTTTAAAGACTAATTACAAAGTAAACAAAGTAATTACCACCAAGGCCAAGAAATAAATCACTGCCTGCACTCTGGAAGCATGACCCTCCCTGATGACATCCACTACCCATATCTGTAATGGTAGCACTACCTGATTTAAATGATAACGATGTTCTTTTTATTGTCTTACTATCTATGACTGAATGCCTAAATAATACAGTTCAGTTTTATACACTATACATTTGCTTTTGTGACTTTCTTTTTTCCTTTAAGTTTGTGAAAGTCTATATGTTTCTATAGTTAATTTACATTCATTGCCGTATAGTAGTACCTTTATTTAACACATCCCATTGGGATTTTGATTACAGTGGCATTGAGTCTAAAGAGCATTTGGGGAGAATTAGTATCTTTACAATGTTGAATTTTCCAGTCCACAGATATGGCACAATTGTCCGCCTGTTTAGTTTTTTTTTTTAATTGTCTCTGAATAGCTTTATTATTTTCTCTTGAATGATCACATATATCTTTTGCTGGCATTATATCTTTTGTCATTCCTATGCTATTATTGTTTTTCCCCTATGGATGAACTTTGTTATTAAAATTTTATTTTTCATTGTTGGTTACATAAAATACAATTGATTTTTGTATAATGATTTTATATCCAGCAACTTTACTAAGTTCCTGTTACCTCAAATGCTTATCTCTATATTATTTTAGGTATTCTAATCCAGGTATATAATTATACAATCTGTGAAAAATGATATTTATATTCTTTCTTTCCTGTCTATCCACATATCCAAACTTCCATCTATTTTTTGCCACACTGCTTGCCCGGGACTTCTAATACAATGTTCAGCAAAATACAAGCAGTCACTTCTATTCTGTTCCTACTCTTTCAGAGGGAACATTCCTGTATTTCATCATTAAATATGACTGTCGAAGGTTTTGTATACCACCCTTGTTAAAGTTTAAAAAACTCCTCTTATACTTTGCCAGTTGTTGTTTTTTTTTTAATTTAACACAAATCTATGTTGGGTTTTATCAAATGCATTCCATTCAGCTATTCAGATAATGACTTTTCTTTAATTTGTTTACGCGGTAGAGTGCACTCATTAAATTGTGTAGTGTTAAATCAACCTTCCATTATTGGGAAGGATCTAATTTGGTTTTCATATATTATACCTTTCATAAGAGTATTTGTTTTATATATGAGTATAGTAGGTGGTAGTTATGGTATATAAAGTTACCACAAACATTGAACCATGGCACCTAAGGGAAATAGAGGCTTAGGCTTCTGGTCACAACATTTGTCAACAGAGTTACACATAACTTGGATTTATGTGTTGTTTAAAGACACTTTATTTAGTATACGCATTATGATGAACTATCACTGAAATCACAGCCAACACCACTACAGTTCATGCCTAAAGGAAGCTTATTTAACACTGGTATTTTATCTGTAAAGTATTTATTAACAGTGCCTTGTGCTTAATACACTACACAGAACTTCACCACTAAGCTTGGGGGTCATTTTAAAAGTGAAATCATAAACGAAAATGCAAAAACTGTGAAATAGACCGAAAATAGGACATTTCTGTATATAGTCCTGCTCAGCATAATGACATTTCAGTTAAAGTTTGGACTTCGTATGACAGTGGTCCCATAAAGATTATAATGGAGCTAAAAAATTCCTATTGCCTAGTGACATCATAATGTAGTAATATATTACTCATTCGTCTGTGGTGTTGCTGGTATAAACAAATATACTATGCTGCTAGTCTTATAAAAGTATAGCACATACAACTATGGATAGTACGTAATACTTGATAGTGATAATAAACAACTGGTGCTGGTTTACGTATTTACTATACTACACTTTTTATCATTATTTTAGAGTGCACTCTACTTATAAAAAAAATGTTTGTTGTAAAATAGTATGCTGTTTTAGGTCAGTAGCAGCTGAAAGCGGCCTTATACACCAGCCTTATACATCTCATGGTGTTTGGTACAGAAACATCCTGAATAGGCTTGTAGCCTAGGAACAATGGGCTATACAATACAGCCTAGGTGTGTAGAAGGCTATACCATCAAGGCTTGTGTAAGTGCACTCCATGACCTTCACACAATGAGGAAATAACCTAAGAACACATTTGTCAGAACATAATACTGATGTTAAATGGCGCATAACTATAAGAGCTGAAATAAGAAAACGTCTACCTTGTCTGACTTGAACTGGGAAGGTGTGTGTCAGACGACACAAATTTTTCACCACTCTGAGAATGTCCACAAATGACTCTAAAATGCCATGAGTACTGATATTGGAGTAACAAATAAATTTTAGTGAGTAGGTGAAT